GGAACTTCTGAAAGAATTCGGGTGTAGAGGGCGTCGAGGGTTTTGAAAGGTTGTGTCCTCCACCAGACAATGATGTGGATTCAATGACTTCAAGAACTGTTTTGAGCCGAGAGTCGGGGTTCGCGTAAGATGTGTCCCCAATGAATCGAATGAGGACGGTTGGGAAAATGAACAGGCCCGACGATCGAGTGGCTATGGTGGAGAAATCCGACCCGGATGGCCACTGCTGTAAGGAGGAAGGGATAGATCGTCGATGCTTCTTTCGAATATCGGCGAAGCTGTCTCGCAAATACTTTTCGACATCACGACGGCCCTGATCAGAGTCAACAAGCACCTGTATTTCTCCGTAGCCTAACTGCAGCTCTTCCGAGAATACGTCTTGAATATGAGGCCCGGGGCGGCTCGCAATGAGCCATATGAGGGGAGATGCCGGATACTGAAGGGAGAATTTGCCGATGAGAAGAATGATTTCACACTGTGCCTCTTCGCCTTGGCATTCGTCCAACCCATCAAGGAGGATCAATACAGTGTCGCGATTTCCGGAAAGTAGTTGCTTGACGGCAAAGGGCTGTACAATGAACATCTCGAACTGCTCGGCCAGGGACTTTCTGACAAGCTGGGGATCGACGGTGAGCAGCCTGACAATGTATTGGCGATAGAGAGGGTATCTGACGGCGAGTCGATATGCAATTGTGGTGAAGACGCATTTGGGATCATCGTGGCTATTTGGGCGTGAAAAGAACAGGGTAGCGCCGAGAGTGGGTGTAGCAGGTTTCGATGCAGCCTCTGCGATCGTCTGGAGAATGACCGACTTGCCAACGCCAGCAGGCCCGTGAAGCCATAGGATCTTGTATTTGCGGACGGTGTTGTACATCAAAGATTGGATGCTGTGGGATATGTCAACTCTCGTCTCTGGATGGCAGCTCGGGTGGTGATCGGATGAATCAAATTCAGCCCCGACAATAACATGCTCTGAGAGTAATTTCATTGCTATTCGGATTCACCCATGAGTGGATACTGATAGCAGGTGATTAAGGAAAGACGCACACTGTCTCTCATTTGAATTATCTCCATCTAGCATCGTTGGGTTGTTTACCACAATGTTGCTGGCATAGGCGAAGGCTCCGCTTGGGAGATTTGCATTATCCACTACAATCCCACTACAATCGTACCAGAGGCTTCGACAAGGAGACCTGGACTGCTGGTTGCATTAGCGGGGGATCCTGTGGGCGGATTTGGGCCACCAGGTGCGTTGCTGAGGGGGTTAGCGGGCAGAGTTGGGTCACCCTTCGTATTGTCAAGGGATCCGGCTGGAGGATTGGAGTTGGTGGTTGCCTCGTTGGGAAGTACGATGGAGACGCTTATGTTGTTGGTCAATCCGTGATTCAACCAACCCAAAATTGAACTGACCTCAAACTGCCACCCCCACTGCCATGTCCAGGAACCTCCCACTCTCTCCGCTTCTTTCGTGGAACGTCTATGCAGGACTTGAATAATGAGAACATGGACGGTGTGGATGGGGAAGGGACAATGAGACGGTGCTCGGGCTTCTGAGGCCTCGTGGTCAGTGTATCTACTGATTATTTCGCACGTCAACACCACAGATTGTCACATTCATGGAAAATAGGTCAACATATGCACAACTGACAGATCAAAGATTCCCGTGTGAGAAGTACTCACCCCGACTGACCTGCACCTCGTTATCCTCAACATCATATTATCCTCAATTGTATCCCTCCCTCCTTTTTATCGGGCCGCGGGTAAACGTTTAAGGTTGAATGCTCTTAATCATCACAAAAATTCCACATCTACCATATAATTAGACTGACAATGACCCTGTGGTCTACATGTCAATTGTATACCATACATGCTGTACACGTGCGCAGCACTCAAATATATGCTACAACACTTTACCTATTTACGAACGCAACGCAGTATATCCAGATCTGCATAAATAAAAACGAAGAAATTTGGTACGTATATTACACTTTCACCTCCTGTATCCCCGCCCTCTCCTTCTCCTTCCTCTCCTCCTCTTCAAGTTCTTTCTTTATTTTTAAATCCTATCCACATCTCCATTAGTTTCATATATAAAAGAGGGGAACACGGGATACATACAATACAGGGCGCGAACCGACTCTTTTCTCTAATCCTCGCGCCATACTTATAAAACAAAAACGGGCTGGGCATAAATACAGCCGCAACAAGGCCGATAAGCGTACATGCCCAGCCGATGCCCATCTACAAACCGCGACGAGTTGATCATCATGGAGGGAGGAAAGAGGAGGTAGAGGACATACATTGGTAAACATCTGTACTGTGAATAACGGAAACGCGGCTGCGACGGCCGAACGACAAATCGTATTCGCCGAAAATGCCGATGCGCTATACATCCTACAAACCCACATTAGATAGGGTCCACATCAACAAAAAAAATCGAACTCACAAATATGTATCCACCAGATAACTCTAACGCCTCAATTAGCCATTACCAAAACAGGGAACCCAAAATACGACTCACCAAAAACCCCATAAAAATCAAACTAATCCCGAATCCAACCACAATCGTGCTCAACGCACTCACATACCATGGTACATACGAATAATTCCCCGTCCATCCCATCCAAAAAGTCCCAACAACCAACGCAGGCGCACCAATCATCGCCCCCAAAAGCCTCTCCTCTGCTGGTGGGAACCCCCTCCACTTGGGTATGAGCTTATTATACTTAAGGGTCGTGAGGTAATTCACGAATGAGCCGAGCGTGGTACCGATTCCTACTCCGACGAATACGAGTCCGGTTTGGGAGATGGTGAAGCCATGTCGGACGGTGAATATTATCGGGAATGCTTGGAATACTGTGTATCCCCGGTAGGGAGTTAGTTGTAGTGAGGGGACAGAGGGATTGGCGTGCTTACGTGCGTAGAGCAATCCGTATACGATTGAGAGGTATATTGTTACGAGCACGAGGATTGGTTCCATTGCTAGCATTATGAAGGGACGGAAGAGGGTGCGGTTTATGACTCCCCGGAAGGACCAGTCTTGATTCTCATGCTCGGCATAGAGGTTTTTGTTGCCTACTGGATCTTCTTTGCGGAGCCGTTTAACCTACAATAGGAGCGTTAATGAGGGGTGGGGGGAGGGTAGAGTGAGAGGGTTGAATTGTACCTTCTTGAGTAGAATGATAGGCACATACGTCTCAGGTAAGAGTGGAATCGTGATAAGCGTACATCCCGCCGCGAAAAACATCATGATCCAAAACACCCATCTCCAACTAATCCCATCTTGTATAATACTAAAAAGTAACAGCCGCATCAGAGATATGATCACAGTACGACCAAAAAGCGACTTACAATCCAGCAATAATCGGGCCTAGAACCGGCCCCAAAAATACACAAGCGGTCCACAAACTAGTCGCAGGCCCCCGCCCTTCAGCAGACCATATATCAGCAATAACGCCACCACAATTCGTCACGGGTGCAACGCCGAAGAAACCACAGAGGAAGCGGGTGACGAGAAGTGTTTGGATATTGGGTGCGAGAGTTTGGCCAAGGTGGAATACTGTGTAGGCGAACATTGTGATGACGAAGATTGGTCTACGGCCGACAATTTCGCTTCCTGGGCCCCAGGGAAGCGGCTATATAAATGGGGGGAGGGAAGTTAGTGGATGAGTGGGTGGGTTGTAGAGAGAGTGAGAGGAACATACACCGATGACGAAGCCGATAAGGAACATTGCTGTTACGAGATATGATACCTCTTTACTGGTGCCGAAGCGGGCCCTAATTTCGCTCGTAGTAACAGACGGTGCAGATGATGCGAATGTCCTAATTAAAACGTCAGCACGAAAAGGCATTATGAGTATTGATAAAACCTACACGTTGAGTGTCATAATAGAACACAAAATCGTAATAAACCATTTATACTTCACACTCCAATTCTGCGGGTTCGCAGGATCATCAGGTCCATCCCAACCCACGAGATTACTATCAAGCGTCTCAGATGGCGAAACAAGCCCAAGTCCAGGACCCTCCTCCGTCTCCTCAATCCTCAAATCCGGATCACTACCATCACTCACCACTGGACTTGGACCCGACACACCTCCCACCCTCGACAACCTCCTCGGCGCAGCTGCACACGCACTACCACTACCGCCACCATCACTCCTCCTCCTCCACGACAAAAGACTCGGGGTCTTCGGTTTCGGCGCCGGATCATGTATACAATCACCACCATACATCTGTATCCGTTGTTCCGTCCTCGATATTTCACGTTCGAGGGGCGTTTGTAGTTGTATCGAGGAGCCAGAACGACTCACAGACCGAGCGGGGCCATAGAACCAACGATGCGGGGGATTACCCTGTTGCAGATCTGATCGTGAGTCTGAAGCTAGGGAAGTAGGTGTCGAGGAAGGGTGTGGGCGTGGATGAGAACTAGACGGGGTCTGCGTAGAGTTTTGCGAGTGTGAAGGACCGGCGAAAGTCAGAGAGGACCTAGACGATCTAGCCGATGATGGACCTTGGCCACTGGGATACTCAGTAGTTGACGCCATGACAAAAGTTGGACTAGAGGGCTACAGAACGTCCAATAGTGAGGCGCAGCGACAAAATCTGAGCCGAGGGCTATTTCAGAGGTATGGAAATGGAGAACATTTTTGTTCATGGTGCTCGAGTATATATGTATGCCTGCTCGTCCAGAGGAGGTAAACAATGTGAATTTAGGCAGCATGACTAACCCGCGAATATGAGCTCCTACCGTTCCCGCCGCGAGCAGATATTGTTGTCAGCTAGCGGCATGTAAGCGTCGCTTGGGAGCACCCCGACACCGAGCCCAAATTAGCGTTAATACGTTGACAGTATACATCAGTGTTTCAAGTCTGTTTGAATCCGGTTATTGGCTATGCCGGACCCCGGCAACTGCTCCGTAGTTCGGTCTCGGTTGGGAAGGTTCCGCTGACGTGTGTAGCGTGTATAGTGTATGTAGTGTGAGTTGAGGGAAAAAGAAACTCTCTGTCGGGGAGTCGAACCCCGCTTTCGCGCGGCCAAGTGAATGACAGGCGCGTGTACTAACCGATATACTAACAGAGACTTGTTGTTGCTTGACAACAGACGTACATAATGTTGTGAGATTGATTGATAGCGTCAACTGTTGAGAGGCATGTGTTAAGACTTGCTGCTGTACCACGATGAGTACCGCGTTTTCGTGGACAGACCGCCTCAACGCCTGCCTGCCGTGTCTGCGCACTGCACCCTCTGCCGACGACCTCACCAACGCAGGCGTTGCCCGGGACGACCTCCGCGGCCTCCTCGCCGACGCCGAGACGCTGTCTTTGCACTCAAACCCAGGCTCTGTGCGCAGGAAGTCCAGAGCACGCATTCCACGCAGCATTTCTCTCTTTGGCTTTTATCTGTTTGGTCGACCGGCTATTCAGCTACCGGCGGATAATGATGACTCTTTCTACGGTACCACTCGTCCGACAGCCACTGGTCCTATTACGCCTACCCTCACTGTACATTCCACGGCGACATTCGACTCGGACGCAGCACCACTCGATGCAGATACAATAAACAGCCTGTCTAGCACCACTGCTGCTGCACTGGCAGAGGCTGAGGAAGAGGAGCGGAGGCAAAAAGAGGAAAGGCGTAGACGGAGGAGGGAAAGGCGCGAGATGAAGAAGATGGCTCAGGCTCTCAGTGTTACATCTGGAGACAGCCAGTTTGAGGGCTTCCAAGGGAGTGGGGATGGCTATCCCGGTATACCTTCGCCATTCTGGCCAGAACATGAACAGCAACAGCCGTTACTCCCCGAAGAAGACGATGAAGGCGCGGATCTCGACGGGGGTGTGTATACCCGCAGGCGAACACCCGCAGGCACGTCCAACGCTGGTTCTGATTCCCGCAGTCGTACTTCCACCTCCCTCAGCGATCGCCTCACCCAACACCCAACAACCTCCACTCCCTCCAAAAAATCAAAGTCTAAATCTGCGTCCTCGGGTACCTCCCACCGCAGATCCAAATCCAAATCCACTCACTCATCCAACTCGTATACAAATACCAACACAGACAGTACCTCTCTCGCATCCCCCGCCTCACACCTCTTCTCTGACGATCCAAATGCCAGCGTAACAACCGTGACAGTCATCTCACCAAGTACAATCGAGCAGGGACAAGGTTTCTTTGACCTCGAGGACGACATCGAGAGTGAGGTACGGTTTGGTGCGCCTGTTGTACCAAAATTCATAACTAAATCTGCGCCCGAATCCGAGTCCGAAAGAGGCGGATTCCCGAGCACAGGCTTTGGAGGAGGGCGAGGTTTTGGATTTTCGGGAGGCCTGAAAACGAGAGGCGCATTTCTAGCTAATACCGAAGCCACGCCTTCGACGGAGAGACATATGGATGAGGACGCTGGGGATTATTGAGGAGGATGTAATTTCGATTTTTGATGAATCAGGTTAGACTCTACATTTATTGTTTGATTTTACTATCTTTTTCTTGGTTTATTATTCCCCAGTCACTGGATATCACCCTCTATGTTGTGTGTTGGAATACCTTAACGAACTTTTATGACTTAGCACGACACACACCATACTACTAGAACCAACCAGGACGAATTTAGTCGTCCGCTATGTCCACGGGGTAAACGGCAAGAAATGATCCGTCCAAGCACATGATATCAATCAGCGCATATATGCACCCATCTCAAATCTCGTCCTCGCCAACCGCCTGAAAATCTTGTTTCTATGACTGATAGATCGCTGATAGTAAGAGCACTTATCAATATAGACAAGAGCATCGAGTATTGAGTTGGGAACAAAATTAGTCCAACAATAGCTACCTCCATATTGCCGTCGAGGCTCGGGAGCAGCATTACCATAGTAACGAACGGAAGTGCGGAAGCGGGTAAGTTCCTAAAACTCAGTCAGCCAAACCGCGTGCTAGCTGCTCAGATCTCTGACCTGATTTGCGGTGACATATCCGAGCTTATCGCATAGTCAGACATGTGAGGATGTCGAGATAATGTATGTGTAGTCGCCTAACGTTCTTGACGCGCCAAGGCAACACATATACTAACTCATGCTTGCTATTCGTTTTTTAACGGTGAAGCTTGAACTTGAGGCTAGAAAGCTTACGCGCTTTAACTTGGAAATTACCACACCCGCCTGTAACACTCGCAGCACTTTCACCAACTCTCTATGTATATCTTGTTGCTCACATGCCGGCGTATATCCCACAGTTATCCTATGATCGGCACCCCCCGATTGCCCTTTCGCCGCAGTTGGGCCTACCGACGCAGCCTGATACGCGACTCGGGACCTTTCTCGTCCAATCAGGGTTAAGCACCTGCTCGCTGTCCAACACACCCAGCAAGCCCAAATCAGCCTCCAGATCTTTACCATCCCCTCTTCGTGGGGCTCGCACGTCCCTCGACTCTCAAGCATCTTCCAGTCCCTCCCACTGAGTCAATCTATATTTAGCACACTCACCTTACTGTACTTGTGTGATAAAGATCCCCACTACGTCTACTGGTGGGCGCTTATGACCTTTTCTTCCCCTCACGATATGTGGCAGGGACGTAGACCCCCGACGCCGTCTGCGGAAGAGATACAAAGGGCTGCGAGGGCGGTGGTAAAAGTGCTTGCGGAGCATGGGTTCCAGTGTTGTTTGATTGGGAGTACGGCTGCTGCGATGTATGGTGCTGAGAACCGTAACCCACGAGTAAGTGTTCCCTCCTACCAAAGGTCTCCTACGACCAAGAACACACGAGCAAACGCAAAAACTATTTGGAATCCCTTTAGGACGTGGATTTTGTAATCCTCCCCAGCCCGAGCCAAACCAACCCGGAGACAAACAGCATCGACATCGAAGAACTCAAACACCTCATTACGGAAAACAACTCCTCCGATTTCTACCTCACACCCTCACTTAACCCAACAGCAACCTACCAAATCCTCCACTACATTCTCACACCCCAATTCCCCACACCCTCTCTACCTCTTCATCGCGAATGCAAAGTCGACTTACTCCTCCCCGCGAATATCGGCCTCCCACCATACATACCCCCAGAGAAAATACACTACGAGGAATATTTCCCTGATATACCGCTTGCGCCGTTTTTGCTTTTGCTTTTGGCCAAGGTGAGGGCGTGGGCGGAGCATAGGATTGATGAGAGGAGGAGGATGAATGAGAGGGTTAAGTATGATGAGAGTGATATACGGGAGTTGTTGGATTTGGGGGTTAATGAGTATATGTGTCGTTTGGGGGAGTTGGAGAGTTGGGCGGGGGAGAATTGGGTTATGGATGTGACGAGGGAGTATGTGAGGCCCGTTGTGGAGAGGTTTCCGAGGACGGGGAGGATGTGGGAGGAGATGGGGTTTGTTGTTAAGAGTGAGTGGAGTTTGCCTCCTGTGTGATGGAAAGGGAGTTGAATGAAATGATCTTTTGTTCTGTGTGCTCTTTTTTCGACTGAGAGATACTTTGGTACAAATATACATAGCATTGTTTCGATTTGGATAACAACTATAACATCTGATGCGACTTTTTGAATTTCAGTGTTGTCGGGGACCATCGTTTTCCACATTGGGCGAGTTACTCTCGACAGGTGGTGTACACCCCGGCGAGTTCTTCGGGTTACCTAACGGTGCACAGTACCCACTCGCAGTAGTCCCGGGAGGAAATACTGCATAGTACGAAGTCAATAAATCGAACACAACGGGCCTGGTGATTGACTGTCGACCGGAGCTACCTACCAAGTTGGACCTTAACTTTGACCCCGTTGTCGATTCCCTCTATCAACGTCCCAAATGATGGCAAGGTACAGTCAGTAAATCAGTAATAAACTTGAAGATAGACCTATCAGGGCTATGCCACTGACTGATGAACCGAGCCCGAGCCCCTCCCTCCCCCGAGTTCTCCCCCTCGCGCATGCACCTCGTTGCCGGGCTTTCGCACCCCCCTCGTCATTTGTATTTTTTGGTTGTTCATCACAGCTCCACTCTTAAGTACCATTGAACGGAAACAATTTAGTATACAATTCTTTAACGGTTTTGATGATACCCACTTTGGTTCGGCTCCCGAGGCCACCCAGTTTGGGGTTTGTTGTAACTACATCTGTTGGGTGTTTTGCAATCTGATTCGCGATTGACTGCTACTGTCCACGGGTCGGTCCTCTTTGTTTTGTCTGTGTAGTGTCACACCATTGTTCATTTGCGTACCAGCGTGACGTTTGGGGTTAGCTTAATTGTATGAATTGGGTCAATACGCACAATAGACGTAGTAGCACCAGTTCAAGCAAACGTTCGGGTACCTCGGGTTGGATGTTATTTCTAGACCCATCGGTGGGTGGTGATTCTTAAAGTACTTACTTGAGGTTGGAACAGTCTATGGTGTAAATCCCCGGGCCTGGAGCGAGTGTTCCGCGATGGTCAGATTGCTAGCAAGCGAGTCCAAATCATATTCGATAGCTGCGCCCGAAACGAATGCTATGGCAACAAGAGAGAAGAAAACGACGAGGAGTGTTTTCAACATCGTTGAAAGGTAGTGCGTTGGCGACTGGATTTCGTCTCCCCCTCGAAATTGCCTTCCTTACATCCATCCCCTGCGGTGCTCAGCAATCATTAGGCGTTGGGTGATTTGTTATTTTCTTGGACTAAGCAGGAGTTCGCGTTAGATCGGGACTAGTGGCACATAATCGAAGAAGTCAGAAGTAAGCTCAAGTCAGCCAAATATGATCACTTTCGACCGCGTGTACGCCCGCACTATTCCATACTTGATGGCGGGACAAGGCTCAAAGGAAGTAAGATGATGATATTCAATCGAAGAGTCATGTTTGTTCTGCAGGGTAATCCAGGTGGTATATGTAGTAGCGTTAACAATGTTGGCGAAAGGCCCACTACCCTCCTCGACGTTCTTCGAGAGGCGTGAATATGATATGACAACGGAGGCATCGTCTCCGAGTGTGAAATTGAAGTCGGTCCAGGGAGAAGTTGATAATTGCTGTTATTTTTCGCTTGACACTGAAGTACTAAAGCCTAAGGTTAATGTAACACCAAGCCACGAGGCTGTGTCGATCGGTGGCTGCGCTGTCCGTA